GATTAGAGTCTTCATATTTTTTCTACCTAATAGTATCGATTATTGTTATATGCTTTTCTGACAATGTATGGAAATGCTTGCTACCTACCTCAGGCCAAAATAGCCACATGGATATTTTTGTCTGCTACAAGTTTTGCCATATACCTCAATTGTATTTATCTTCATTCTAGAGGCGTGTCTAGTTTGTTAGATAACCTTGATTTATCATTACTTAGTAACTAATTAACGTTGTTGAAATAATTTTTCGGTTAGTTGCATTTAGTAATTACATTTATCCATATTTAAAGGTACCGCAATAAGGAATATGCAGAAAATCCTGTGTTTAATTATTCAAAGCCAAACAGCATTCAATAAGCGTGTTGAGTCTAGAAGCTGCTTGTGGAATAATTTTGGCTGGGATTGACATTTATTAAATCATTTTTATTATATTTGGTTATCAGCTTGATATTCTTGACTTTATTACATTCATTAATCAAATTAATACATAGTTCTCATTAAAAATCATTTGCCGACCTATCAATATTCTTGAATTCAGGCTTATGGCTTTCCATTCTACTCCGGGGACCACCAAATACTCTTTCTGCCTCTGCCTATTCCTAAGGGCAGTTCGATATCTGGTCTTCTTTCGTGTTTCCATCCACTTCTAAATCTTTACTCTTTAGCTGGGTACATAACCCTTCTGGTGACCAAGCCAGTCTGTCCAGCTACTTCGGACACCGACAAAACCGGTCCTCTTTTCCAGATTCCAGTCGGCTTCTCTCCCGATAGACAAACTACTTGCCTTGGTTCGAGACACATCTTTGATTATTCTATCTGCCTGTCACCTGAGGATTTGCGCTATCTGCCGGTGCCTGCGTCAGCGGGTCGCCATGCTCTAATTGCTCTCCATCTTGGTGTGCCCCTCTTTAATGCCAGCCTTAGCAAAGCTGTTTATCACGGCCTAACAGGATTAAGTGGGTGTTCTGGCCAAAATCAATCTGGTCCTCTGGCTGAATTGGAAACAGCAAACAGACAATTAGTTGGCCAATTGGCTTGCTTCATTTCTCTTCTGTCTAGTGATGAGATAGGAGCCGAAGAGAAAGGAGATAAGCTTAAGACATTGCTGCGCACAAATTTACCTCTGAAGGCCTCGATGAGGCTGACTGGAGTCTACTCAAATTCAAAAACATGGGCTGATGTGTGGATGCACCGCCTAGCAACACATTGCACTGGTTCTGGTCCAGGACCTTGGCCATTGCCAGTACACTCTATACTCCTTGGGGACGCTGGTCTCCAATTTTTAGATTAGTTCACTAAAACGTCAAACAGTGGTCTAAGCTCTGAAGGGCATATACATACATATATATATATATATATATAGCAAGCGGAAATAAAAGCAAGCGAATTCATTTCGTTTCTTGGTGGCGAGCCAACATTTATTGTATTTTTCACTAAAATCGTCTTCTACTTTGGGATGCCTTTTACTTTTTTCTGTCTTTCCATTGTTCTATTACTGTCTTCCTTTTGGTAGCATTCCACTTAATTGTTTTGGCTGTGAATATTCATTTTATTAGCTATTATATGCTTTAGCAGTGAGTCTTTTTGTTTTCGATCTGTAAAAATACATTATCCTCTTCACTTTTTCGATAATGCGTTGCTATTCACCGACTCGATCCGCACTTACCTTTTTTTACTTTTGCTTTTAATTTATAACACATATTTCAATGTACAGTTCATTCATTATTTTGGTAATCATTGTAGTGTGCTTATGAATCCTATTTTTACTTCACTAATTTGATCTAGCTGTTTTTAATATCATGTAATATGAACACAATAAAGCGAAGTCTTTGAATCATTACTTTTACGTTTTGATAAAGTTGCCGCTGTTCACAACTTTTTAGTTACCTCCGTTAATGTTAACCATTTTGCAAGTTAAAACTTTAATTTCCTCTCTATGTAGTTCCCATGCGGACCCTTAGGCTTTTCGTAAATCATATGTTTTATCCTTCGTGAAGTACCATATTTTTTGTCCGTCAAATTGTGTCCGAACGATAATGCATTATTTGGCATTTACTACCTTTAAACTTGAATTGAAGGGGCTAAACACTCGTTTGTGTATACATTAATTATTTGCATGGTATTATCAAGTGGTGAATTTTTCTATTCCTTATGTGACCTTATTTAATTGTGTTGGGCATTT